CAGATAATAAAATTTCGCATGGAAAACTCATGATTATTATACTTAATTTAATCTTCTCATTAACAAACCGTTTTTTGCTTCCAACTGCCCACATAGCGTGGCAGTCGAACCCGACTATCGGACACGACCATTGGGCCAAGTTTGAATTTGTTTAACTTATAAATTGCTGAAACTTTTCACACTTTTCCGTCTTAAATGTTAAACTTTTCTCTACAAAATGTTACTGTTATTAACAACAGCGATTACTAGCACTTTGTTTCATGAATGTGGAGAAAATACAAATTTTCTTTAAGAACTTTTCTTTTTCTCACTACCGCACGCGTTTCGGACCGTATATTTAGGCGATTCGAAAGACACTGAAACGATTTCGAACAAAGCCAGTCATTATAAATCAATTTTGAAACGCCAACAACCTCAACAACCCCCAAAGTAACAGTAGCTACTGGCCTCAAAGCTCTATTCAACGGCAATTGTGAGAGGGTAGGTGGGTCACTTGGGCCATCCATGGTTGGCTTTGGATGCCATGCCGCCATCATTATCTGCACCTCCGCGGCAGTGCTTGTCAATTGCTGTGAGACGGATGGCATATTGGCACGTTGAACACACCTTGCCTACACAATTAACAACAATAACAAAGAGCAATAGCAATAACAACAACAGCTTTGTAAGCACACGCAAGCCAAACGCTCAAAACGGAAACCCATTTCTAACGCGAAAGCGAAGTGCACGCCCTGCGCTAGGAATTTGTCTGCTCGTTTGCCGTTTGCTTGCATGTAACGCTGGAGCTAGCTTTAACAGTTAGCATTTGCTAGAAAAAAAAAAACAGAAATTTACTTGTTAGTTCACACATATGTACACAGCCATGAGCGCGCCAGATTCGTTTCGCGGAAAACGAGACTGCTAAAAAATACAAGGCAAAAATATTCAAAACATCCCCCCCCCCTCTTTTGTGTTGGAAAACTTATTTCGAACTGAGACAAGGCAGCGAATAACTGTTATGAAGTTTCATTGTTATCTTAAACCCATTGATATTTTTGTGGATAACCAAGGGTTGGCACCTTATGCATTCCAAGTTTTCTGTGTCGAGTACAAGATAGATCTGGGCGGTCGCAGAGAAAGCATTTCCTCCTCTTTGCTGTTGTCAGTTTAAGTTGAGATGGTAGCACCGCCTCCTACAAAACCCTATCTTCAACTGGAAGTAACTATTGAAATCTAACCTTGGGCAGAAATAATCTGATGCATTTAATGATGCCGTGAGCTGCTTTGATATCTCACGGTGTCCAAATTGATTTTGGTTTCAACAACCCCAGTCTATAAGTCTGATGACGAAACCAGTTGGGATGTCTATAGGCAGTTGACCACTTCTGTCGGAGATGACATAACAGCTCCTGTAACCCCTGCTCAGGCTGCTCTTTGTATTCTTTTTCAATGCTGGCCACCATACCAAAGCTTCATACTTATGTTAGGAATGGTCTTATGACGGCCGTATACATCCATAAGGTAAGTGGTTGATGTTAAAAATAACGTTTTTGGCAGTATTGTGACCTATGAGATATGTAATTTGGCACATTGTAAGAAATTCAGGTGATCGATGGGCTCCTCAATTACATAAACCACAGATTGCTATGTACTTTAGACAGTCTCGGGGCCCAGGGACTGTGCTTGTATTCAGTAAGCAGTCTATTTACTGCGCTCACCGGTAAAAATAAGTACACATATATAGTCTTAAGGGAGGTTGGAAAGTCGGGGACGGGACTCGATAGTAATGGGGAGCGCAACCTTATAAATTCTACACATTGTTAGTAAAATAATTAAATAGCGCAATGTATATATGCACATGCTTACATACATATTACTATAAATACAATAGAGTGTGTATTTTATGGTGTATTGAATGCCTGAAGGAATTAACTATGCAATAATGCGTAAATGGAGCATCCGAGACTTTGGTATCCACTTATTGATGACAGAGTGCTGTTAAGCAAATAAACAACTTGCAAGCATAATATTTATTTATACCTACAAACATACATACATATGCTTATACAATTTCCTACAACACGCACACACACACATTCATACTTCTTTACACCTGTATGTACTATCTTTTTAGCGCAGTAGGTCAGTCAACGTCCAAAGTAATGAAGTAATCTACGCAACATTTGTAAGTCAGTGGCGCATATATATACATACATACGTGTACATTTGTACCAATAGTTATTCATTTAGTAATTGTATCGAATGATTTTGCGCATCGGCAAATATCTTCTTGTGTTCAATACAAAATTATTTGCTTCTCCTACACCTGCACACCCATGCACCATCAAGGCCGACGCGGCGCTTCATTTCAATTGAGATATAACTGTATGTAAGTGTAGCTTGCTCGCTTGGAACCAAGCCCATTTATTTTCGTGAAAAATGATGATTTGTACAAAATATAAATGAAGTTATTTTTATTTAAAAGTGTGCCGCGCATTGCCTGCGACTGATTCATGCTGGCAACCAAAGTAAACAGAACGTCTTCCACCACTGAAAACATTGCATTCAACGGATATATCAATAAATTATTATTATTTTACAATTATTTACATTGAGATTTGCCAAATTTAGTTAGATTCCAATGAATTTCAGACATAAAAAGTTCTAACCAGAAGGTTCGTTTTGTAGTTAAGTTCAAATCACAAAGTCGTCAGTCATCAGTCGTCACCATGATATGATGGACCTAGATTGTTTTAATTTATCGAAGGAAACTTTGGTTCCAAGACTCATTGTTTGTTGTCTTTGGTAGTAAATTTTCCCGAACAAATATTTTAGGCTAGAATATCAGCCCTAATCAGCACCACTAAAAATTTCATGAGTGAATTTGTAAAGTAAATGGATCTGTTTGTGAACAAAATCAAGACTCCCACGTCACTATCATATCTTAGAGGTAGTAGATACTTTTCTAAAGACCAGCATTAACACCAATAATAATGTCAGCCTGGAAATCAAACACAGAATCATTTAAATCTTGCCAATAGGTGGCACTTTGGACTAGGCCCACTGGTGGAAGGAAAGGACGACCTCCACTTCATTGGAATGCTCACGTGGAGGGCGACCTGGCTTCACCTAGTACTTCCAGCCGTCGCCAAACGACGAAGAGTTGGAACGAATGGCGCACGGTTGGGGAGTATGCTATAAGAAGATAATTTCAGTTCAGACGTACGTATCTAATACTGGCTCGGCTCATCATTATAATACAATATCGTAATTGGTCGATCTGTTACCTCTTGGCACTTACAAATTTCGGATTAAAATTACAATATCATTTCAGCTGAAAAAAAGAAGTCTAAAGACAGGGACTGACATAAACGTAAGAGTTATCAGCGTCACTGACTTCTAAACCTTATGAGAGCAACATCCGACATAAACGAACGATTTTTTTCTAATTACAGTCGCCCCTATCCAGGAAAAGTAAACTCCTTCGGTGTGTAACCGTCATTATTTTTTATTTTTAATGAATATTTTGATCACTTAATTAAATTGTTACCAAATTATCATAGAAATGTCTAACACACGATTGCACTACATCGCAAATAGAATATTTTTTTTTTTTTTGTAGCGACGGTTGACGGTTCTGGACACATGACGGTATACCGAAAATTCCCCCATTAGCGCTGATGTGTCATTTAAAATCAAGTTATTTATATTTTTAAGCCACCGCATACACGCTCACGCTCTCTGTGCACGTCTCATGTCAAATCACCCACGTCCACCCATTGTGTGAGTAATTCCAGTATTGTGTAACATGCAGTGCTGAGTCAAGTCGAGGTGAGGTGAGGTGAGGTGAGGTGAGGCGAGCTTTTTTGGGGTAATAGGTACACGCAACACCTAAACAATCTGACAAAAGCTTGTTTGTGCATTATTGTTGTTGGACAAATTGTGCTCATGTGCTTTAAATGCATATTAGTTCCACATTTGTAATTTATGTGTGAGAAAGTTAAATCGGGAAAAATACGAAATTAGCTTAATTTGTGCTCTTTTGTTTTAATTTCCACAATTTATTACATAAATCAGTGCATTCAAAATTTTAAAAATAGTTTAACATTACAGAAATTTCACAATTACCTACATAATTTTTTTAAATTTTTTCCATTGAACCATTATAGATTTCGATTAATGTAATAAATAATTTATCATTCATAATCGTCATATTGCGGTAATTTCTATTCACTAACGTCATTACTACACATTGACATCACTGATATGTTTCTAATATTGCGCCCTTTTATTTATAACTACTCAAAAATGTAGCTTTTGACGTATATATACAATATTTATGTATATTTTAAAAATATCTGACATTTATAATCGCTACAGGTACTTGAAATTTTATTAAATTAAACTTCTATCATATATGTATATAAATGTATTGTATGGAAGCTAATTGAAATGGAGAAAAGCTCGCAGTGATATTTTTTAGCTCCTCTCCTGTAGAAAACAACTGAAATATATAAGCTCTCCGTCGGTCGGAGTGGTCTGACCAGACTTTTTTCGATTTTAAATAAAAAATTATACTTATCATAGAGATACCGACTTGAAAAATTAACAAAAAGAAAAAATCGATAAACATTTATGACTTTTAATCGCGTGTATATGCGACACTAAAAAAAAAACTCAAATTTCCCATGCAAATGCATGTAAAATGTGGTGCTGGTAGCCAGACCACTCCGACCGTCCGACTTTCGAAAAAATTATCTGCAATGTTTCTAAATTATTCTAAAAATGCACGCCTGAATTTATTTATCAATTTTTTCGCATTATAAATTCTTCCTTGACATAATAATTTGCAAGAATATTTGTACGCCGTTCAAGTACTATTGACAGTTTGATAAGAGGAAACAAGCTTAAAATTTCAGTCTTACATTTTAACTATGAGAAATAGAACAAATATCATACATGTAAACACTTGTCACCAACACACATTTATTTTTAACTACGGCCTTTTGCATTATACATACCGATTTGCGCGACATTTTGGTATGTGGCTCCTCCGCTCTGGTCAGCACGAATCAATTCAGCTTATTATTGGTCAGTGCGGAAAAATCTGCAATTAAATAAAATAATGAAAATAAAATTAGTTCGAAATTTAAGGGATTTAAAGAAAGTTAGAATATAAGAAAGCACAACAATAAATTTAATGAATTAAATTAATTAATCAACATATTTCCATTTGCATAATGAGCGGTTAAGTAGTCAGAATTAAAAAAAAAAATGAAATTTTTGTACAATTAATTTTAGACGAATCTCCAAGGATTTGTGACGATCACCAAGAGGCTTTTCTTTAGAACCCGAGTTTCTTTACAAAGCTTATATTGCTCTTAAAAGTGATCTTCAAAACTCCAAAGTCTCAGACCGAAAGCGAAAACACTTTGAAAACGATCGAGAAAGATCCCAAAGTTGCATAATCAAAAAATTATTCTTTACGATTTGATAATGGAACTTGGGATAATTACCAATAGATGCTGCAATTCAAAAAAAAACTTTTATTGGCCTTGGCAGGATAAAAATCCGGGTCGTTCCGGTATAAAGACCCGTCTGTCGTGGGAACTATTGGATTTTAGTCACCTCTCACGACAGACATGCCCGCAAGGGGGGGGGGGGAGGGGTTAGCTTACATTGGGTGACTGTTACGCCATACACAGACCTGCTGGTGCCTTGTAATGCCAGATAGAAGTTCAGATTGGTTCGACCGTCAACCCGTTTTGTGACGTTTCAGAGATAAATAAGTTTGATACTTAGTGTTGGACTCGAATGACTAAAAACGACTACATTCATCAAAATGCGTACGCAAAAGTCGTAAAATGCAAACTATTGTAGTTACTAATATTTTTATAGCTAAATGGTATAACTTAGTAAGTTGTTATTGTTTTAACTCATACGAAAACGTTTGAAATTGAATTTTCGGGCATGAAACCGAAATTAGCGCGTACCCTTGAATATTTTTTATATAAGTATGTTACCGTAATGTTAAAAACTAAAAAAATAAGCGTTAAAAATAATTTTATTTGTTGTGTGGGGTTAAGAAATTATTAGGAAATTTGTTTCAAACACTGTATATTTTATTAAACGAGTTGTAGTGTTGTTGTGTTTTTTATATGAGTCACTGAGATTTCTAACAGATTCCTATAATATTACTCCATCCTCTTATATCTTATTGTTGTTGCAATTTAGAGTTTTTTTTATTTACTTTGTGCAAACGACATTTTGCTATTAATAAATATATATGTACGTATGTATGTTTGTAATAGTGATTCATTAACAAGTAGATATTTTATTTTAACATAAACTTGCATACAATATATACATATATATTTACAATTGTATATGCATACATATATGGAAGTTATTTTTAATGCTGTGAACGTGAAATATTGAGAAATATATTTATTATTACGTACAATAAGAATTCCGATACCATTTTGTTACTTTGCAATATTTTTAAAGTTTTTGTTGACTAATATTCGACATTTTTAACTTTCGAATATATTGAAAGTGGTAACATATTATAAATTATTTTTTAATCTTTACTTTATTGATCTACTACAGCAAGAATGTACATTAAGCGAAATAATTTTATAAATTTGTGTCGCAGAGTATCGAAGAAGACCCAAATGAGTCCATCGGCCGACGCGCGAATTTTATTTTATGCAACAGTTGGAGCTGTGCCCATCTACTGCATGAAAGATTTCGCGAAAGGATCTTAGTTGACGGGCTTACAAGAACAAAATCGTGCAAGAATTGTAGCCGAACGGCCATCAAACACGTCGCCTAATCGATGAACGGACGGAACAGAAAAATTTGTTCAGCTATGAAGCTCACTTTTGGTTGAATGGGTATGTTAATAAACAAAATTGTCGCATTTGAAGTGATATGTATGCACAAGTCTCTGTTAGATGCCAGTCGGTTTGTGTGCTCTTTAGGCAAAGGGAAACGCTGTAGAGCCATGATGGATGAGATTTTCGTACCTGAGGTGGGATATCTTGATGTGGATGATCTTTGGTTCCAATAAGAAGGCGTTACATGGCATACAGATAAAAAACAATCAATTTATTGAATGAAATTTTCAGTTTGAACAATAACTCGCATCGTGAGCCACTGACGTGGCCTCCACGCAAATAAGTCTGAGACGAAGTAACGCCTTGGAAGAGATTATTTGGCGCCTTATTGCTGACTTTTCTCGAGCAAGCCGCAGCGGTCACCTGCTCGAAATCATTTGGAAAACATGATGACAAACCCTAATCTCTATAATAAAGCTGAATTCTCGATCATTACATTAAATTATATGCGTTTTATATCTCCTTGAAAACCACATGTCTAAGTAATGTTGCTCATACGCACCGACAACCGTTTTTTTTCTTTGTAATTTGGTGACTAAATTCACAGATAATACTGTTTCAATGGAAAACAAAAAATATAATATAAGTGGTATAAAATCTAAAACAAATTTTCTTAAACTAAGAATCTACCGAAACTTGGGTACAATCATAATTTTCCCTGCAATCGATAACGAAATTGAAAGCCCAAAGACTGAGGTAAATGAACGCTGCCGTGACAAGTGAAATTGAAAAAAGTCAAAATAAGAAAAAACACGTTTTCGCTTTTCCCTCAATTCACTGGCGCTATTTACAAAGACGTCCAGTACATGCAGCCAGCTATTGGACACTTGTCTTGCCTTGCCAGCTCAGTAGATTTCACCTAAACCGAGCTGAGCAGGAACGCTGGTTAAACGCAACTCTCAACTGGGTATTTATTATTAAGAAATTGTAATTAAAGATGTTGGCCGCATATAATAACGACGGCTACAATGATGAGGTTGACGATGATAACGGTAATAATGGCGCTGTTGCAATTGCCTGTAACGTAACGTAACGTAGGAAATGGATAAAAGTATACATGCGTTGTTGTTGTTGTTGTTGTTGTTTGTCTAAATTTTCATTTACTAAACTCGCTTGAATAACTCAACTGATTGCGGTGCGAGGTGGTATGAGCGAGTTCATATATTTGGTAATTACTTGGACGTCACTTTTACATGGTTGAATGATGATGGCATAAATAAAAACTGTGCGTACACATGTACATACACACACACACACATACAAACATATGTAAGTACTGTCGGAAGTACATGTAACGATGGCTTTTGACATAATCGTCAAACCACAAAATTGAAAAACCAAAACTCCGCCAAATTCCCAGCTGGCGGCTGCTGACCGGTTGCTTGTTGGTTTAGTTTATGCATTGTTGTTTTTGTTTTCTGTTATTGTTTATCTCTATTATATTTACACTTACACACGTACATATGTAATTGCATCAGTGAAATCGCTAAATACCTACATACGTATGTATGTATGATGTATGTATGTATGTATGTATGTATGTATGTATGTATGTATGTATGTATGTATTTATGTATGTATGTATGTATGTATGTATGTATGTATGTATGTATGTATGTATGTATGTATGTATGTATGTATGTATATATGTATGTATGTATGCATAACGTGGCTAAAAGATTGAAATTGAAAGCTGTTTTATTGTGATCGCCAATAAAAGTTAAGCGTTTGTATGTAATAAAGGTGTTTGTGTCTGAGTGTGCACTAACAAAAAAGGCAATAAATTCAGGAAAAATTGAATGTTTGAGGAGCAATGCATTAAGCCAAGTTAAAACAATCAGAGGTGTAATTGAAATATATATATATATGTACATATGTACATTCAGATATGCATAACGAGCTTTTAAATGTGGCTAAAAGGTAAATAATTGCAGTCCCGGAGCAAGTACGTACATGCACACATACATATGAACTCAAAAATAAATAACAACACCCACATGTGGTTAAACGTACAAACATACTTAGCAACAAGCCAATTTTGAGATATACACAAATATACTATATTAAAATATGCATATGTGTATATATGTATAAACATATATATGTATGTAGACATGTACATGTATATTTTAACAAAATAGAACAAAAATGCAATTTTAAACCGTTTTTTTTTTTTTAAATTTCGGTAGCATTTTTTAAGCTCCGGAAGACCAATTATTATTTGCAAAATAAAAAGGTATATAAATACCAACATAAGTTTGTAAATACACTAAAGAAATATTTTGTGTCACAAATGATTTTTTCGAAGGGAACACGTTTTTGGTTTCTCTTGCAAAAGTATAAAAATTTCACTTATGCCTTTTCTACATTTCATCATCTATTTCGTTTTGTCTGTGGCGAAATAAGATTTTCAGTTCATTTCCATTTTTCTTAAAAATATTATTTTTTTTGTCAATTTGCATCACGATGCATCTGTTTTGCTGTTGTATACATAATATGCATATATACATACATACAAACATTAAATCGTATGTACGTATAGAAACAAAATGATTTTAAGCGCTACTCTCGAAAACCTTAAAACATTAATTTTAAAAAGAAAAAAAAACGAACGAAAAATAAATCACCTTGAACTTGATTTTATTTATGTATGTATATAATGTATATAAATTTATACATATGCATGTGTATCTTTCTCGAGGGCATTTCAGATAAACTCGCATTTATATCACGTTTTTGCAAGTTATTTCTTTATTTATTATGTTGTGCGACAGTAATAATCAGTCTTTTGTATGCAATTTCGGAATTTTTAGCTGTTTTTTTGAATTTTTGGTTATTTGCAAGCAATAATAATGATTTGTTTTTTTTGAGATTCGTATAAATGCCTTAATGTTCAATGATACTACAATGAAATACCTACTCAGACATGTATGTACGTATGTACAATGCCCGGGAAAAGTTGAATGAATGCTTATTGATAAACTTTTGAATGCAACACACAATTTTTAACGGTCAGCAGGGGAAGTCTGAAGTGATATATATGAAATAAAGCAAGAAAGAAGAGCTGCCTTCCGAAGTCTTTATGTATTTCATGACCATAACAAATTTATATTAGAATTTAAGGTTTTAATATCAATTCTAATATCTGCAATTGGAGGGAGTCAAGAAGGCGGACTAGTATGCAAAAATTCTATACTAATACTAGTAT